ACAACTAGACACAAGGACAATTTTTTCCCAAATGCCATCACTCTGCTAAACAACTAATTCCCACAACACTGTCAATAATTTACTAAAACTGCATTACTATTATTCTTCTCTTCCTTCCTAGTATCTATCTCTCCCCACTTATGACTATAACCATATTGCTTGTATCTTTCAATTTATATTGTTTTTATTTGTTTCCTAGTACGATTTGATAGCTTATTAGTAGCTTTCACTATCACTAAGTATTGTGTCTTTTTATTCTTGATAAATGAATTTTATTCTCCTTATGTACACTGAGAGCATATGTACCAAAGACAAATTCCTTGTGTGTCCAACCACCCTTGGCCAATAAAGAATTCTATTCTAGTCTATTCTATTCTCATGGGTGATGAAAGTCTAATGGTAAAGCTTCTACATTTTGGGGCTTCACCATTCATTCTGCTAACCAGAGTTTGACTCCATCCTGAGGTCACCATGGACCACACTAATTGTTGTTACCATTTATCACCGGATGGTTTACCTTGTTGACAAGAACTATAACCTTTCCACACTCTTTTGCTTGTCTTTTTTTATCTAAGTGGTCTTTGGCAATGTAAACAGCAACTCGGGTCTTGCCAGTGCCTGTGGGAAGGCATATAATAATATTTTTCCCTTCCAAAGCTGGTTTGGCCACTTCCATCTGATAGTCTCTCAGACTCAGCTCTTTTTCAGAGGATGGTCTTTGGTGTCCACTTTCAATAGGATCTGCAGATGAAAACAAAAGTACAAATCATTGATAATGAAAAAAAAGACATGATTATGATTTCTCCTATTACGTGCTCCAACAATGGAGGTTTTGAAGAAGAGAATGAACAACTATTTGTCTTAAATGGTATAGGAGTTGGACTAAAGACCTCCAGTTTCCCTTCCAGCTCTGTTATTCTGTTTACTTCAAAACTTATTATAATGATGGTTTAAAAACGTAAAAGCCTATGATGGTTTAAAACATATGTGTGAAATATTATCATATTTCAAACATAGACAGAATATAGGAAATGGGCTGGAATGAGAGAAAAATTACCAGAAAAATATCTGATATTTAAAAATATTATTTCTGGTAAAATTGTCATTGTAGGCCAATCATAAGGAAAATCACCATAAATATATTTATAGATAGGATAAGGAATGGTAATACCTTTTTGTACAGCTAATTCCATTAAAAGCTAACTAAGCTAACAGAACTTACTGAAGCTTACATAATACTTCCTAATGGACATCAAACTAGAGCTGTTTGTTTTGTTGGAGCTATAGAAAATTATCATCCAAGAAAACTTTTCTGCAGTTATATAACCACCACTTGTGTTAGAAAAAATAGTCCAATTTGTGGCCCAGCCTCAATGTTAGGAATGTGATTGTGGTCCTTTTTGTTCCTTTCTTCCCAAACATCCTGATATCCTTTCTGGCTACTAGAAAGCCATGGTGCCATGGTGGTTAGAATGCAGTATTGCAGGCTAATTCCATCAACTGCCAGCAGTTTGATTCTCACCAGGCTCAAGGTTGATCCAGGCATCCATCCTTCCGAGGTTGGTAAAATGGGGAGCCAGATTGTTGGGGGCAATATGCTGACTCTTTAAACTTCTTAGAGGGGGCTGTAAAGCACTATGAAGTGGTATATAGTGCTATTGTTATTGCTCTTCTCTCACAAAGATATGTCAAATGGAAAATTATCAGCACCGACTGTGGAATCAATGAACCTGAATTGGTGCAGACCATTCTTCTGGAGGAAACCTTACACAGAGATGTTCTCCACATCTCTAAGCTACAAAAGTCGGCAAATGCTGAGGCTGAGATATTGGAGCCACCTCCTCTGAAAAGAGATAGCTTTGGGATTGCCCAAAAGTTCATACCTTTCTTGGGGTGGAGATACTGCAGGAGTTACTGACACTGGTTCGTCCCTTTATCATTAATAGACTGCAGGATGACATGTAGTGCCTGCATAATTTACGTGAGAGGGGAGAAGGTCTATTATAGACTGCATTCTATCCTTTAATACAGTTCCTCATATTGTGGTGACCCCCAACCATAAAATTATTTTTTGTTTTCCATATTGTTTTTGAAAATATGTGTTTTCTGATGGTCTTAGGCGACCCCGGGGACCCACAGGTTGAGAACCGCTGCCCTAGTTGAGAGTTTTCTAAGTGCCTTGCTGGAAACAAATATGCCTTTGTTTTTAAGCTTACGGTTTATCTACCTCAAAAGTCCATGATAGTTTACACGGATACTTACAATTTAATATTCCAAAGTTTCTTTTGATGTTTTGTTCTCATTTAAGAAACTTATGACATTCTTGCCTATCTTCCTAATTGCTATATCCAATGAACCTGCCATTGTGCACAGGTACTATATGAGTAATCCATATGATTGTATGGACGATCTAGGCACTGATATGTGCTAAAACTATGATGATCTTACTTAGATTCTATGATCAAGCCAGCTTCTCATGTTGCCACACAAGATCATTTCACATTATTTATCATACTAATTCTGTCTGTTCCAGAATTAATTTTTTTAAAAATAGCTGCTAGTATAGAAACCGACTGTACTATACTGAATATCTATTTGCAATAGATCCAGATATAGGAATACAGGTAGTCCTCAACTTATGACCACAATGGAGTCCAAAGATTCTGTTGTTAAGTGAGTCATTTGTTAAGTGAGGTTTGCCCCATTTTACAACCTTTCTTGCCACAGTTGTTAAGTGAATCACAGGAATTGTTAAGTTAGCCCAGTTATTAAGTGAATCTGGCTTCCCCATTGACTGTTTGTCAGGAGGTCAGGGAAGCAGATCATATGACCCCGGGACACTGCAACTATCATTACTATGAACTAGTTGCCAAGCATCTGAATTTTGATCAAATCATCATGTGGATGCTGCAGAGGTCGTAAGTCTGAGAAAGGATCATAAGTCACTTTTTTCAGTGGGTTGTAACTTTGAACAGTTGCTAAACGAACTGTTGTAAGTTGAGGGCTAATTGTACCTCAATCAAAAGAGTGACAGAGATGACAAGAAACCAGCAGGAGGAACTTTTATTTCTTCCACTTGCTGGATCACTTTTCTTTTTTATAGCTAACCTTAAATTTCTGTGAGTAGGTTCACATGGAACATGATCGGAAGGGTGCATGTGCATCAGGTATGTGATTGTGTGTCTTTGTGGGGAACATTGTGAATTGATTACCAAACAAGCCTGCACCTAAACTCAACAAGGCAAAGTGGTCAGTGAGAAAAGAAAAGTTAAAAAGGTAAAGATTCCCCTTGCACACGCGTGCTAGTCATTCCCGACTCTAGGGGGCGGTGCTGATCTCCGTTTCAAAGCTGAAGAGTCAGCGCTGTCCAAAGACGTCTCCGTGGTCATGTGGCCGGCATGACTAAACAACGAAGGTGCACAGAACACTGTTATCTTCCCACCAAAAGTGGTTCCTATTTTTCTACTTGCATTTTTACATGCTTTCAAACTGCCAGGTTGGCAGAAGCTGGGACAAGTAATGGGAGCTCACTCCATTACATGGCGTTAGGGATTCATACCAGAGGACTGCCAACCTTTCTGATAGACAAGCTCAGCATCTTAGCCACTGAGGCACAGGCTGCAAAAACCAAATAGGGCTACCCATTTGGATTATGGGAGAATTGAAGCATGCAGCGTTTGACAGAAACAGTCTGGGAGCTACATAAAGACATGATTCAGACATCTTACACTTTATGTAACTATTTTATTTTGTAGGCAGAGGAAGCAGTAACATAATTTAAAGAACCCAGCAGTCCTCCCGATGCTGGTACTTTTTGGCCACGTATACGAATCTTCTATCGCAAGAAAATGTTGTCTGAGCATATGCTTCTAATTTCATTTCATGCTTACCAGAGTACAAGGGGGAAAAGTCCTACCTGAATCATCACTGTAAAGGTTCATCTGTCCGAAGTTTGCATTCACATCATAGGCATTTGTTTCTTGCAAACTGACATCAGATTCTGGCAGGTTAAATACATAAGCAGAAGAATAAAAGTCACAATGCACTGTTATTTCTGCCTCCATTTAACATACTTTGCTGTTGGATGTAACCCCTTCCTTTAATCTAAATCTCATTAAATAAGTAGGTGTTTCTGTTAGTATAATAGATGCAGAAGCTGCTACAAAATATTTAAAGCACAGCTGAAAACTTACAAATGTTCAAAATTATTCCCCACCCCACCCCGTTTATATTTTCTGTGAGTTTCGCTAGTTTAGACACCTGGGAGACAAACCTGAATCATATTCAGACATATGGCTCTCTCATGAGGAATCAAATATGAGGAATCAAAGCCTAAAGCAGGTATATTTATATATTCCCATATCCATATCCATAGCATTAGTACTAGCCAGAGTGAATAAAAATCAATGATCAGATTTTTAAATTTTAAATTGTATTCTTTTTTATTTAAATTGGATTTTTTATTTTTATCAAATTTATTTTAATAAAATGCTTTTGGAGTAAAAGAAATCTATCTAAATATAGTTTTCTATTTAAGATACATCAATAATTTAGTTTATTCAGCATGAAATGGAGCTTAGTAGCATGAGGTGGTATATTCTGCAATTTTTACATTTTTGGTAAAGTCATTCAATGAATCCAAGCTCTGCAAGCTAAATAGGAAACCTTCATTTTGTTGGCAAATAACATTAAAGTTTCTAACTACCAACAAGAATGAGTCCTTACATTTAAAGAGCACCTGTCATTTCAGATCCATCATGGCATCCACTGTTAGTGGGCATCCACTCACCTGTGCCTCACCTTTTGTGTCACTGCTGCACCACCAGCCATCCCATTAATGTGAATGGGATTGTCGGTGAGTCAACAGTGCGTCAGAGGAGGAGCCGCTGCGGGACAGAGATGACAGTTGCTCTTTAAAAATTATGATTTAAATCAAATTGATTTAAATCAAGCCTTTTATTTACTAGTAATTAAAATCATGATTTAAATTGTGATTTAAATCAAATTGATTTAAATAAAATCTACCCTGGCACTAGCAATATCACTTAGACTTATATACTACTTCATAGTGTATTATAGGTGTCTCTGAGAGATTTAGAGAGTCAGCATATTGCCCACAACAACCTGGGTCCTCATTGGCCGACCTGGGAAGGATGGAAGACTGCTGCAACACTACATTCTAACCCAGTGTTTCTCAACCTTGGCAACTTGAAGATGTCTGGACTTCTACTCCCAGAATTCCGGGAGTTGAAGTCCAGACATCTTCAAGTTGCCAAGGTTGAGAAACACTGTTCTAACCACTGGCCACCTATATCCAACTCTGTCTGTCTCTGTCTGTCTGTCTGTCAGTCTCTCTCTCTCTCCCCCCCCCTCTCTCTCTCCCTCCCTCCCTCCCTCCCTCCCTGTATATTTCAGAACTGTTTTGCCCTTACTTTACTTTCTCTTTACTTTATCATTTCTAGAGCTAAAAGAGCAAGTCTGGTCCAAGGTCTCCCACTGGTTTTGTGACTAAGGACTATCACTTTGTGAGGACTATCACTCACAGTTTCCTGATTTTTAACCGGGTGCCTTAATCACTCCACCAAACTAGGTGTTTTCTGATTTATATTAGGTAGTGCATAATTAGGCAGCGTAAAGAAACCTTTTGCTTGAGATTACATTTGCTTTATTCAACTCACATTTAACACAAGATGCAATGGGATTTCTTGTGGCTAAAAACTAGATTATGAAGCAGAAGAAGCAGATCTTCCTAACAGGGATGGATAGAGTGCCACCTACTGATTCCCTAGGTATTTGAATCCAGATGAATACTATTCGAATGGAGAGGATCCTACTTTTAGGCAAAAGTGTAAAACTGGGCTAAAAAACATGATTTGCAAAGTTCAATTTCAGCAAATGGCCTAATAAGGATGAAATGCATTCACCCCTTCCAACATAGCAGAAGACATGAGAGGGGGAAAAAAGGATTCATTTAAAACAATGTCAATACCCGCAAAATACTGGGTGGAAAAGAATCATTTAACGTCTTACTTGTAAAATTAAGTACTTATATAATCCCTTACTTATTTTAGAAATAAGGGCTGACTGCGCAGTTGGAGATGAGAACAACGTATTTAAATTAAGAACAGAGTGTCTCCTCTGCCTCATTTAAACAAGCTCTAAATCCATTTATATACATTTCTTGGACAGACAGATGTCATTGTATCACAACAGCAACAGGAATGAGTCATGACTATGTTTCCAATGGGGAGTGGGGAGGAAAGCAAAGTTATGTCTTCTCTTTCAGCAAATGGAGGTGCTAGGAGGTGCTATGGGCAGAGAAAGTTCACACCAATTAATTCTAGCAGGGTGAAAATTGTACAATGATTAGGAAATACACTTTCTTTGTTAACTGTTGAAGAACCGAAGAGGAAAATTAAGGGGAAACAAGGTTTTGGGGAAAAGGGAGAAAATTAAAAGTTCCTACATATAGCCAAGGATGTGCTTGTTCTAGCTATGTATCTATATTTTCATAGTACAAGTAAAGGTAAAGGTTCCCCTTGCACATATGTGCTAGTCATTTCCGACTCTAGGGGGCAGTTCTCATCTCCGTTTCAAAGCTGAAGAGCCAGCGCTGTCCAAAGACGTCTCCGTGGTCATGTGGCTGACACGAC